CTGCTGGGCTCCAGTGATCCTTCCGCCTCAGCCTTCCAAGTGGCTGGAACTACAGGCGTGAGCTACCACACCCGGCTCGTTATTTATTTATTGGAGAGATGAGGTCTCACCAAGTTGCCCAGGCAGGTCTCGAACCTGCAGGCTCAGGCAATCCACTCACTTCAGCCTCCCAAAGGCACGGGATTACAGGCTGAGCCACTGAGCCCAGCTGGCAACATTATTAAGAGGTAGGTGGGGAGGTAGGCCCTGGCTTGAAGGTCTATAAAACAGGGATGGCCCTGGCTTGAAGGTCTATAAAACAGGGATGGTTGGCTGGGCATGGTGGCTCACACCTATAATCCCAGCACTTTTGAGAGGCCAAGGTGAGAGGATTGCCTGAGCTCAGGGGTTCGAGACCAGCCTGGGTAACCTGGCGAAAACTTGGTGAGACCTCATCTCTACAATAAATCAAAAAATTAGCCAGGCGTGGTGGCGTATGCCTATAGTTCCTGCTATTTGGAAGGCTGAGGTGGAAGGATCGCCAGAGCCCAGCAGGTCAAGGCTGCAGTGACCAGGAGTGTGCCACTGCACTCCAGCCTGGGCGACAGAGTGAGACTCCGACTCAGACAAGATAAAAATGAAATAAAGTAAGTATGGCACCCTAGAGGATGTTGAGGGCTAAAATGGCATAGGGCCAGGCTCACGTATGTGCTCAGCCATTGCTGGAATGAAAAGCTGACAAAGAGCCAGGAAGACATGGAATGCTCAGCGACGCCCTGCGGGGAAAACAGTCAGGACCTGGCCACGACACAGGAGAGCCTTGCGGGCAGGGGATCTGGTGGGCAGAACAGAAGCAGCCAGTTGTGGATATTTATTTGAATCTTATCTATAGAACACAATATTTACAGATACAAACAGAACCACAGCAAAATTGCTATAAAACCATTCAGACTCTCTTGGTAGCTACTTCTCAACACGTCCACAGTCAAGGGCAGGGCTGGAGCCTGGCTGTGGAGTGGGCCAGCTGAGTACCTGGGCAGCAGCCAAGGGAAATAGCTAGGGATTATGGCTTCAGCATTCTCCCAGAGCGCATTCCTGAGCGCTGACAGTGCAGAGCCCTGGCCACCCCCTCAGCCAGCAGCAGTGGGAAAGGCAAGGGGGCCTGGGCAGGGGAGGGCAGCCGGCTCACCCCCTGCCTGGCCCCCGTGCTGGCAGGCGCGTCCCTGAACTAGACTGGGAGGCCACTTTGGCCTGGAACTGCTCGCTGCCCTGCAGGCTGCTGTTTGGCAGCTGGAGGTGGCAAGAGCTGCTGGTGCTGCCAGGGCACGTTCACCGGGAACAGGAGCCCCCCGGGGCGAGCAGCCCAGAGGAAAAGGTCTTAGCATCTCCGGGCTCAGCACAGGGAGGGGTGGGACTATCCTGCCGAGTGGGCTGGGGGCTCCGTGAGCACTTGCCTCTCTGTTCTTTGGTTTAGAGGAGGCCAAGGAAGGTGCTGGGAAAAGGAACACAGTGGAGAGAAGCTGCCCCAGCCTTGGGCCCTAGACTGCCCGGGCCTGGGCACGTGAGCAGAGGGATTTCCTCCCACAGGCCGGAGACTCAGGGCCCCAGAAGCGTGGGGGGCAGGGTGGGGGTTGGCAGCAGGAAGCAGGGTTGGGAGTGCCCTGCAGCCTGGGCTCCTTGGGCTTTTCTCCCAGGGGTCCTGGCAGGGCCAAGCTGCTGCTGTTCCTTACGCTCACTCTGGAGGCGCAAGAAGACAGGATGGCAAAGAGATAGCCACAGCAAGGCTGGGACAGGTGCACGAGGATCACAGTGTCGGTCTCTCACACGTGCCTCTGGCCACACGTGCACAACACACACACACACGCCCTCCCTCCCTCCTGTGTGGCCGGTTCGTTCTCACAGGCATGCGCCCTCTGCCACGCACACAGATGGTCACAGGGTGAATCCGAGTCTCTTATTGCTACATGGGGAATGAATGGGGCATCAGGGACGATCATTCCACGAAGAGCGAGAACAGCACCATCACTACGATGCCCGTGCACAGCAGAAGCACCTGCTGCAGGGAGTGCCTGTGGGGACAGGGCCAGGCTCACGATGGTGGAACTGGCAGGGGGCAGGGCTGGCAGCAGCCAGAAGCCCCTCCGTCTTGGGCCCCAGGAGAGGCAGCCCCAGTGGGTCACTCACCACGGGTCATCTTCCTCCAAGAGGTCGGGCAGCACGTTCACCAGGGCAATGTAGAGAAAGCCGCCCGAGGTGAAGGGCAGGATCCAGGCTGCTGTCTCCTCTGCAGGGGAGGAGTGCTCAGCCGGCTGGGAACCCAGGCCTGTGTGCTCCGCCGCCGCTAGGCCTGGACCCCAGCAGCAAGGCAGCCTCACTCTCTGGCTGGCACCCCTCTGCGGCCCCCCCCCGCCACTGCCACCCGCCACGCCCATACCTACTCCCTTGGGGGACTGTGTACAGATGGCAAAGCAGGCGCCCAGCAGACCTCCCAGCGCTGTGGAGAGTTGCAGCTTGGCCGCGCTCCATCGGTCAAAGCCAGCCCGGAGCAGGATGGCAAAGTCGCCCACCTGAGGAGGGGTCCAGATGTTCACCCTGCACCCCCGCGGGACCTGATCCCAGTGCCTTAGGTATGGACACATCCCAAGCCCCCTGACTGCCCCTGGGATCCCCCCTCCAAGGAGCCTGGTGGTTGCAGCTGGTGGGGTGAGGAGCACCAGGCCCACCCCAGAGCTCTCCCCAGGCTGCAGGCCCACGCTGACCACAGGAGCCCGGGGTCCTGGGCCCCTCAAGGCCGCCCTCCCAGCACTCACCTCATGGGGGATCTCGTGCAGGAGGATGGCTATGGTGGTCAGGAGCCCGATCTGCAGGGAGGGAGCGGGGTCTGCGGGGTCTGTGCCGAGGGCCTGGGCACCCCACTCGCCCGCTCACTCTACAAGAGTTACTCTGCTCTGAGTTGGCTCTGGGCTGGACACTGTGTTGGCTACTGGAGATACAGCAGTGGCTATAGGGGACAAGGAAGCTGCCCTCGTGAAGCCAGCAGTCTAGAGCCGGGGATGAGTGAACAGAGCTGTGCTTACACTGACAGGTGCTGAGGAGGAGAGCGGGGCGGGTGCCCTGGGGAGAGTGAGAGGAACGGGACTTAGATGAGGAGGTTGGCAAAGGCCTCACTGGGGAAGCACATGTGTGTCAAGGCTGAGGCATCGGCCTCAGAGTGGGCGGAAGAACATCCCAGGCAGAGGGAACAGCATGAAGGGGGAAAGAGCCTGACCAGCTGAAGAGGCAGAGCTCAGAGGCAGAGGGAGGAGGTGGAGGAAGAAGCCTTGTGAAGCAGGCAGGGGCCAAGTCTAGCAGCATGAGAGGTGCCCTGGCAAGGAGCATCGGAAACAACAGACACATGGCTCGGGGCAGAAGGCGGCGCAGGAAGCCTGTGAGGCCTACGGCAGCGTCCAAAATGGCAGCGGGGAGATGGCTCACATGGGGGTGCTGGCCAGGATGGAGCAAGGGGCAGGCAGACTCGAGGCGCACTTGGGAGGCAGACCCAGCAGGCCAGCACAGGAGCCACGAGAATCGCCCCAGCCCCACTGGCCCCAGCCTCTCCTCACCTTCTTGCTCACAAGGAAGCTGGCGGCCACGGCCAGCCCGTGAGTGAAGTTGTCGATGGTGTTGGCCAGCAGGTTGAGATAGCCACTGACCTGGGTGGGGAGAGAAAGCCGTGCTGGCCTGGGCGGGCAGGGCTGAACCGTGCCGGCCACCTGGGCTGTGTGGCTGAGGGGAAGGCGGGCTCACTCACCTTGATGCTCCGGACCACAGCACTGAGGCCGGGCTCTGCAGCTGGCTGGGCCAGACAGCGGCCTCCATTGAGCGTGGCAGCAGCAGCAGGGGGGTCTTTACTGGGCCCCTAAGGCCAGGGAAGGAGAGAAAGGTGACATTCCATGGCCCTGGCTCAGCCAGGGTAGACACAAAAGGGGAGAGGGAGATAAGAGAGGCTCCTCTTCTTTGTTTCTTTTTTTTTTTTTTTTT